CAGTCAGCTGATTTCACTCTCGCCTTCTATACGTATGCAGCAGTTTCCCGACTTCCACGAGAAAAAACCGGCTTTCGACTTCAAGCCTGAGTTGTTTGATCTCAAAGGATCTACATACTTTTAAACAAACTAGTAGACTATGAAGGATTCCTGTTGCATATCAGAGTCTGCTCGCAGAATACTTCACTGAATGAAGAATGAGTTAGATGAGGTCGGGACGGAGGTAAAAATTGGGGAGGAATACCACTCCCCTCCTTCATTTTTACTGACGGGACTGTCTCTATAAAATGTAGTTCTGGAACCCAATGAAACACTTCAACTGCAGCTCTGATTTCTTTCAACAAACTGCGGAAGTATGCACTGTATGACTGTCGAACCGTAATTCGCAACTACGATCCCCTCCAAAAACCCCAAACGCTACCTCTCCTTTTCGAAAATGATAAGTGCGACCTTGTTTGTTAGTAAATTACCAACACACATGTGAAATGAGATGGAGACCATGAACGTAGCAGTGGGCAAATAGATGAAAATCTTTCACAGGCTAACCTTTAAGCTGGCATAGATCGCCTTGGACACCGTCAAGACACCCGAAGTTTCAATAGGATCTAATGATCACAGAGAGGAGCACAGAACGTTTTCAAAAAATGTTTCGAGAAGCCAAAACGATCACCGAAATGAAGTCCAAGAGGAATTTTTCGGGGATTTTCAAAAATCTCAAGAGATTTTTCGGACTTAGTTTTAGCGTTTACTTTTCGGCTTTTAGAACTCTTCAGGAACAACTTCCAGAGCATCTTTGTGTAATTAATTCAACACTCAGAACCACTATGAACCGCTTGAGATTCGTAGCCAATCTAGTTCTCATGTGATCTTTTTCTCATAAAAACAATAAGTCGTGCAAAGTTTTGGGAGAAGACCTTTAAAGAGAAAGCTGTTCGTTTTTCTCAAAAAATCTTCTCTAAGTCACCGCCATTAGAGACCACAACAATGGCCAGCATATTATTACTTTACATTACGCCGACTGAAAGCATGACGTATCTTATCCCAGTGGTACTACTATTCGTTTGATATGGAACGGTCGCTGAATCAGCCTTTTATCACTCGTGTAGTTAACGAAACCGAATTCAGCTCAAGTCAACGAAACTGTGAACATACAGTAGCGGTCAAAAGTGTTCGCCGGAACGATGTTTCGTGTTTCGTTTTCGATTTTTTATGATTTCTCACTTGAGCAACACCCTCCAAAGATTGATACGCTATGTTTTATAGCGTTTTTATAACCTTGAGCTACAAAGAATCAAAATATACAAAAAAGTTCCAAGATCACCGTTGACTTTTCTTAGCAAATGAAAAGAGGAGCACGAAAAACGTTCCGGTAAACATTTTCGCCGCTAGTGCATTTCCCGAAGTAAAGTCTGATTCGCATGCTCA